AAGGAAAGGAAAGGAAAGGAAAGGAAAGGAAAGGAAAGGAAAGGAAAGGAAAGGAAAGGAAAGGAAAGGAAAGGAAAGGAAAGGAAAGGAAAGGGAAGGGGCACGAGCAACAGACCATGAAACCATATCAAAATCTGCTTTGCGTCTGGCGGGGCCAGTCCAGTGCCCAATTGCTCCGTCAAATTTTCCGACTCATGGCATATTTCATGTATAACGAAAGTGACCTCGCTGGGGTTGCGGGCTGCAGAGACACCCTCTACCAGGGCTTTCGCGCCGGCAGACACGATGGAGTACAGGATAGGGGGAAAGCCCCATTTTTCTCTTGAGGTGAGGAGGGGTGTTCATATTGCATTAACTGCAGACGGATACAGGTACAGTGGGAAATGTCGACGTAGCGGCTTCACGTGGCTTATGAGTTTGTTCTAGGGTTGCCAATGACTGGTTGAAATTTGTTCAAGCTAAGTACCTTAATGGTGATATTTGACCACGGTAAGTTACCGGACAGGTCTGTAGGTATAGATTGCGACTTTTTGCTAGAAGGGGGACAAACCCTCCGCCCAAATGGACTCCACACCTCGCATTTCTGTGCCAGCAAAGGTAGTAAAACCCTTGAACGCCCTAGACTTACCTGAAGGAGCAATCCCCCCGCCCGTGATGCAGAGCTCCTCGCCGTTCCACACCTTTACAAAATATGAGATGACTTCCGGATTGCTGAATCCAGACCAAACTGAAAACCGACGGACGAAAGTCTACTGCCGCTCCATATCATTCGCTGAGGCGAACATGAGAATAATTATGGAACGCGCAAGCCAAGTGCTGTGGCCACATCCGCTGCCGGAGTACTGCATAGCGTAATTGCTTTGGAGATTTATGTCGGCTTCCTTATATAGACCACTGGTTACTACACAGTGTCCGATTGAAACTCTGGTGGTTTCAATGCTGGAGTCCGGCTGGCCATGGTGAGGTTATAGCTCCCCATTACTCCCATTCGAGTCGCAGGTATCAAAGATTCCGAAGCAAGCACTGAGTTGGATTGATGTCTAGGGTAGCAATAGAGAGAACAAGGAGAAGGATGGGATACTACATGAGAAACCAAAAGGCCAACTGGAAGCACTGCTGCCTACCAATTAGCAGGCAATCATGTGCTTAACAATGACAGGGAGGCGGCACTGGTCAAGGGGAGAACACCAATCCATCTTCGATACTTCCAAGCCACGAGAAATACAAGTCCGAGAAGTAGCCTGTGCGCGATATCCACGGCCGCTGCGTCGACGCCCTGGGCAGCCGTTGCGCTGCGCGCTTGACATAGGTAGCTTCGAGATCCATGACAGGGCGCTGAGGAAAATCTTGCTCAATGGCCCGCACAGGAACGGCAGATGTATAGCCATTCTTCCACATATGCTTCATGATCCGACAAGTAAGACGCATCGAAATATCCGCGCCGAGAGTCCAGGAGGCATTGACGAAACCCATGATCAGCATCGCGTTTGGCAGACCCTCCAGCATCAGCGCATTCCAGACGAAACTTGCTGCTGCGTCGAATGTCCGTCCGTGGATGGTAATGGGAATCCCGCCCAGGAGCTGCAGGCGAAGGCCCGTTGCGGTGATAATTGTGTCGCCGTCGAGTCGCTCGCCCGAGGCCAATTGAATCCCGTGCGCATCCACCTGGCTGATGATCCCGGTTGCGACCCTGGCTTTGGTGGACTTCAATGCCTTAAAGAAGTCTCCGTCCGGGCAGGCGCAGAGCCGTTGTTCCCACGGGTTGTATCGCGGCATGAAGTGCGGATCCAGCGGGATGTTGGGCGGCAGCTGAGTCTTCACTTCTGCTTGGAGTATGGCCCGTGCAGCATTGGGAAATCTTCGACAAAAGGAGTAGAATAATTGCGACATGACCAAGGACCACAGGCGACGGAAATGGTAAACGAAAGCTCGAGGAACGAGACCACCCAACCACCGCATGTTGCGCCGCGCTTCGTTTGGTACGGCAGCGAGATATGTCGGGCTTCGTTGCAGCAATGTTACAGATTGAGCAATATCCGCCAGCGAAGGCACCAGCGTCACTGCAGTCGCTCCGCTCCCGATCACTATGATATTCTTACCTACCGGGTCAAAGTTCTCCGGCCAGAACTGAGGGTGGATGATCTCGCCCTGGAAGTTCTCGAGTCCGCGAATAGTCGCCTCTAACGGTCTCTGAGAGTCGTAGTAACCGGTGGCGAATATGGTAAACTGGGCGTACAGGTGCTGGATGCCCCTAGGACTCTGCACTTGCAGCATCCAGCCGCGCCCGTTCCAGTCAGACGAAAGGACGCGGTGGCTAGGACGGATATGCTGGCGGATCTCACTCATGGTTGCAGCGTCTTCTAGGTACTTCATAATTTCCTCCCCTTTGCCGATGGGGTTGGCCTGGTTCCAGGGAAACCATTGGAAGCCGAACGTGTACATATCGGAATCTGATCGAACTCCCGGGTAGCGAAAGATGTCCCAGGTACCACCGATGTTATCGCGTGCCTCGAGTATGAGAAAGGAGCGGTTGGGGAATTGGGTTCGGAGGTGATAGCCTACATTGATGCCGGATATCCCCGCTCCAATAATGATAACATCGAACGTGGATGATGCCATGTTGTGAAAGAGGATAGATGGTGTCTCTCACATTGAAGAGCCGGTGACTGATGTACCATCATAGGGCCCGATGGCGGTATTTAGGCAGTAAGACGGATTTTGAAAGTCACCTCCTGGAGGAAATCTCGTGGCGATATAAAATAACGAAAACCCCTCCGCCAACGATCCACTTGGTTTGAAGAAGTGGTTAGCCACAGGAAACCACGTCGACGAGCATTCATGCATGGTGAACAGGCAGAAGTCGCTACCAGCCAGGAATATAAAAGTCCGCGGAAATTGGCAGGAACATGCCAGGTCTGCAATTGACACAGATCAGAGTGAGAATTTATTCTGGTAGTAGGATGGGAGGAAGTACTACAAGAAACTATTTGAGAAGCTGTATGTAATTAGTATATCTGTGTAGTGGGCCTAAAGATACAGTAATACTACTGGATCTATCATCTTTATCTTATATCTATAAGACTTTATGATTCATGATTGCTATGAGAATACTCCTGCGCTGTTTTTTTCTGTTTCACCCACTCAATAAATTTTATTCTTGTAATCAATGGATAGAGATATACTTATAAGAGTCTTTATCAATCTCTTCTATTTGTTCCTCATCTTCCCAGAATGGACGCTGAGTTTGTCAGACCAAAACCAAATTGAGATTGATCCTCTTGACCTGCTGTTTCCAGAGCAGTAATACTTCCTTGTGGAAATGTATCTCGGTAGTATGTGTAATCTCTACTAAGCTCCTCATGAGCCTAAAGTGTTGAACTTCAGATATATTATTCTAACTGGTACTACTAAAGTTGCTGTTCAGTTACTAGTACCCTCTGTATCAGAATATATCCAGTACTGACTGGGTTAATCCGCGGCGAAGAGCTCCATGAAAGAACACGAGGACTGGGATTTGCTTGAATGTGGTTCCTTAATATCAAAACCTTACAGCATAAGACTAGAATAGATAACTTGAAATGTATATAAGATTAAGTGTTGCAACTTCACTGGCCACAACATAGTAGAGATGACCAGCGTTCAGGTTCAGAATTCTTGCCAATGTTTCCTGTTCCTTATTATTCTCTATTTATAAAGAGAACACCTTTTGAAATGCCCCTCAGATAGTGTATATATCGGCTTTACATCAGTCGGCTGGTAGTGCGCTGCAGTGAGGGAACGTTGAAGTTAGTATAGTACGTTTCGGGTTGGTGGGCTTCGTTGATGAGCCAGCGGCCGGATGGGTAGTGGAAGTAGAGACTGCTTGTGTTGTCGGACGGATTATCTATTGAGCGCGTCTGCCGCGATAGATGAACATCTTCTGGTAAGATTCTAGTAGACCATGCTAGGATGCGGGGTTTGATGTGAGGTCGTGGAATGCCCGGCATGATTTGCTTGAGACGCGCTGATGTGAAGTAAGTGCGGTGCCAGTGACAGCACTGTGTATACAGAAGGGTTGAGTCACATGATGATCAGACCATCAGGAAATTACTATTGGTGTAAAGTGTTGAATGCGAGACCGAAGGCCAAGTACTATAGAGTAGTATCTATGAGGCATCATTCGACCTTCGTCGGTGATACCAGCCACAGTAGGTTGAAGCGGGTAACGCCTGATGCGGTGCGGCTGTTGCGACTACGTCAATCCCTGCCCATGTGATCCCTTTTGCTCCATCCTTCAAAGTTGCTAGTATGCTTTCAATCAAACACCTATTCACACGGCTGGAATATGATCGAATGAACTACTAACTCACGCAGCTTTGACAATCTGTAGAAGGAACTTTGCTCGTGTTCTCAAACAAAATTAACTTACCATTTTAAACAACTGTCCACACCTTAGCACCAACAGACTCATCGCGCAATTGTGGCGACAGGCCTATACAACAACCGATGAACCTCAATCATTGAACCTCAGCTGAACCCTGCAATTCCAAACCAAGGGGTCAACCCTCTACCATCAAGCAGCATATCTATCTGACTCAAGTCAACCCCTCCACAGCTGGGAAGAATGCCAATGTCAAATCTATCGTACTGCCCTCTGCCCCCCCGGGACCAAGATATATATCGCTTCCGCAGCCGCTACAGCATAAACCTAGGCCCCATCTTCCTCCACGGCCCAACCTCACCAGACACGCCCAACACAAGCGAGCTCGAAACCCTCCAAACGTCTGTCCTCACCTCTCACCATCCCATCCATTTTGATTGAACGAACCTACTAACCCCTTCCCTCCAGCACCATAAAAACCACCACCCTCGACACCACAACCCAGAAGTATCAAACCCACTGGCAAACCTGCCCCCCGAGCACCACCACTTTGCTCCACCTCCGCGACACCCTCCACTACAATACCCTTCACCTCCCACTCAGCTTCCTCACCCTCGGCCCGCTTTTCAGCCAGGGCACGCCCTTCGAGGGCGGCCCCGCGCAGGTCTACACGCGCTGCTGGTCCGCCGTCAAGCACTTCATCGAGCGATGCCACACCGTCGGGATCGGCGTGTTACTGGATTTCGATCTCGCGGCGAACGGGGTGGATCTGGGCGCGAGTGCGGAACGCCGGGCGTTAGCGAGGGATTGTGTGGCGTTTGTGGTGCAGGAGGTTCGGTTTCATGCGTTGGGTGGGGTGGTTGGGGTCAGGGTGTCGAGGTCTAGCGAGGGGGATGCGGGGGAGCAGCGGCGAGCGGGGGAGATGGCGTCTAGTGGGCTCGGGGATTGGGAGAGGGAGGTTAGGATGATCGTTCGTGCGATTGATGAGTTTTTGCCGCTTCATATCAACTGTACCAGCAGCAGCAACAGCAGCAGCAGCGGCAGTGGCGGTACTCCCGAGCAGTGGTTCCGCCATTGCAGCGAGACGCCGCTTCAGCGACTCGAGCAACTCCAAATCCACAACCCGGACCACTCGGCTCCAAGCTTTCTGCTACTCTCACCGGATGAAATACGCACCAAAGCGCAACAAGCCCGCATCGAGCGGCCACAGCTGCTGAGGGAGATCTTGATGCGGGCGGAGGCGGCCGAGGCGCAGGCAGCGAGCAAAAAACCAAAGCTATGGAACAGCCCAGCCGGACGCCAGAGTTTCGTCCACGGCTGGGACGTAGGGTTCAGCGATGCGCTGCGCTTCTTCGACGCCGCGGTCGAGAGGTTGCTGCCGGCGCGGCGCACCGGGGCGGACAAGATCGGGGAGGTGGATCTGTGGGCGCGCCGGCGGACGAGGGATGTGGAGCGGCTGGAGGAGGATTGTCGTGCCTGGGAGTTGGGGCTGCGACGGGGGATTGCTGATTTTGATCGGTTTGTGGGGAATTGAGATGGTCAGTCAGAGGGCGTCGCACTCGGGAAGGAGATAACTATGGGACTAGGAGCTGTGAGTGACTACATAGCATACTAGCGTATGGTTGCATGCTTTGCAGTGGAATTGGAGACAGAGTAAATGCATGCGGAGTTTCAATGACGCTATTCCTGCATGGAGCTGAGCCTGTCTATTCAAAACCATCCGTAACCCATGACCTCATCTGAATCCCTAAGAAAATACATAATAATATACATATATGATACATGAATCATCTATTCCAACGCCACTGGATCGCTTTTCATTAGAATATATCCGAGTCACTAAAAGGTGCCTCGGTCTGGCGCGCCATTTCCAAGTCAAACGCCAGGTTGCAGGCCGATTTGTAGAACTCATGGAACCGATCCTCCACGTTAGCCTCGGGCTTAGAAACAGGGAGAATCTTCAATAAGTTCGTGTCGATGTTCTCGATTTCCGTGCGCAGAGAGAGCTCCGTGGTGCGATGCGGCAAGAACGGCCCACTCTCGTAGTACGAATAGTCGAGCTGCTGGCCACCAAACATGTATTGATGGACCCGGGTGCCCCGAACGTCGCCCACCGGGAGAAAGACGTAGTCTGCCGTGACGGTGTCGCTCTCCGCCGGGACGGATTCGGGTAGAAGATAGCGGGGGAGGGAGATCTGGGTGAAGGCGGGAAGCGGCACTTCGCTGCCGCTGGTCTCGAGGGACCGGGCGAATGCGGTGTGCAGGCTCTCTTCCAGAGCGTCCAATGTCGAATTGGCCTCGGATTTAAGCGGAAGGTCATGGGTCAAGTGTCGGGTGAACCGGAGATCGAGCCCATTCTCGGGAAGCAGGAAATCCAGTTTGCTCTCGGACAAGACCACCTTGACTCGCAAAAGACCGAATTCGGGACCGGTATAATACGGAGACTTGGAGGTGTTCGCCGTGACTTCCACTTCAAGCTGCGGGAAGACATGGGCATGAAGAGCTGAAGGAACCAGGCGGATGCGGTGCACCTGTTGCTCGTCTGACTTCTGAAGCCTCAGTGTGTTCAGGAAGGGTGCCGCACGAGGTATGTCGGTTGTAAATGTACGTGCGAGTGACAGCCGACCAAGTTGAGGAGCGCTGAGCGGCGTCTCATCCAGGTTCGGCTTGCGCAGGAAAAGGCATTTCCCGACGGCCGCAGTCACAGATTCCTGAACATTGGCGGGGTTCTCTATGCCGGTGGTTTTGTTGAAATTTGAACTCCGAAGCAACTTAAGGAGCACACTCGACAACCGACTTTGGTGCCTATCGAAGAATCGGCGCCGTTCCAGCAAGGAGCCGGATGTCACAACCTGGCCGGCCTCATGTTGCACAGCCCATCTGAACCATGAATGTCGGCGGTCAAACCATGGCGTGTTAAGCTCAGGGTCGATGTTGTTGATGCTGGCTGTTTCGGAAGCAGGTAAGTATGTACTAAATGGGGTGGGGGAATTGTTGGTGCTGTGCCATGCAAGGTGGAGTGTCCTAAGCGCATCGTCCGCCTGCAGTTTGTTTTCTGCAAGATAGAACATCCGCTTCGGTGTTTGTGTTGTCTTATCAATCTCAAAAGTCGGCCCAAAAGACTTGTTGATGAAAGACTGAAAATCAGAGTTTCGAAGACGTGCGCTAGCGGATTCACTCATATTAGCCGGCAATGTTACTTCTCGCTCTTGTACTCTGAGAGTAGCGTCCCGGATGATGTCTCGCATAGATTCACATGCTCCTTGACGCCCAGTGATCCTCAAAAGGCCTAGCACCTGGGATACGTCGATCTTGACATCATGCAACGCAGCGAGCTCCTCGAAGGAAAAGTTCTGAGCACTCAAGAGCAAAGACAACGTGGAGCCGGGGACAGGAATATCAAGCTGGCCGAGTTCGCCATCGACACTCAAATGCCAACATTCTCGGAGGACCCTTTCGGCCAAGATTGCCTTGCCCTTCAACCCTCTGAGTGCTCCAGTACGAGCGGAAGGGGAATTCGACACCATCTCCGTGAGATTCACCACCCCAGGCACCCATTTATAGGCTGCAGAGCCATCCTGACTTGTAGCTTGTTCCTCGGCTTCGCTCGCGACTTGTTCCTCCATCTCCCGTGACCGTAAAATATACTCATTGAGTTGTGCTACCGTGAACGAGTTGTGAAGTTTGAATCTGAGATCGTTCCAATCAGAAGGCGCTAACTTGTCGTGTGACCGGTAAGGAGTGCGTAACTCGTCAATGTGAGAGGCGAAGAGTTCTTTAGTGGCAAAGCTAGCGTCTTCTTCCAATTCCTTCACCAAGAAATGCTGGGAATCGTCGTCGTCGACTCGCTTGTTTGTGTTGTTTGGATTCTCCTCTTTCGCCCTTAATCCGGCAGCCAGCTCATCCATGTTCAGCTTCCACTTCTTTTTGGGTTTCAAGACCACGACTTGCACCGGGTTTCCCAGAGAAGTCACCGAAATCGGTACTGCACGGGTCGTCTCCCTTTCTCGCCTATCATGCTCTCGCTCAGTCTCCATGCGACGCTTACGTTTGACATTGCTAAATTGAAGCTCGCTTGCTTCTTCCTCTGAAGCATCGAGCCACGTGCCACTGCGCGCATTGTGCGAGTCTTTTTGGGGCTCCGGATTCGTTTCGGTATCAGCGGTGGTATCAGTGGAGGAGGTAGATTCGAGTCGAGCAATAACATTGCGCCAGCGCAATGGGGAGTTGATATTTGTTCTGCATGGTGGGCGTAGCGGACATTTCGAGAGTCCTCTTAGCCCTTTCGACGACCGAGAAATCATATGGAAGACGAGGCGTTGCGCTCACACTCGGTGTCTAAAAACTTGCGCGATTGAAATCTTGAAGCCCCGAGAAGGACGGAGGCAATCGCCGACCACGCTAGTCCTAACACGGATTAGCCTTGTCAGCTCGGTGGCGTCGGCTCATCCACTTTTCTACGGAGTACACAGTATTGATCACTGCATTTCGATGAATCTTCCGCTTTACAATTGGCACCTGTTGAAGTAAATGCTTGAAAATCAAGGATAATTGCTTGTGGTTGTATTGAACAGCTTATTCATCCCCGCCACTCACTCCTCGCTCGTAATCTCCCAACTCCGTAAATCCTCGCGCACATCGAACTCGGACACTTCATGGTCGGCATTGCGACTCTTCCAACTCTTTCCTTTCGGATTGTCATGGAGCTGTTGTCCAATACTCCCGTTCTTCCTGGCATGACCCGTCCCTGAGGCCGTCTCTGTTGCCTTTACCTCGTTCCGAAAGTGATTGCTGGAGGAGCTTCGAGGTCGCTTCTCGAAACTGCTGGGCGACAGACGATTGTCCGTGGAGGCTGGCCTTATGCCCGTCCGGCTATACGGGGAAAGTCGGTCAGCGTGGTAATCCGCAGAGTTGTCGGGATGTGAGTGCTGGTTGTCTGCCCAGCTGATACTTCCAGCGAATAATTCTTCGATCAGCTTGTCCGCCGGTAGGTCGTCGGCTCGCGAGTTCCACGAAGCAGCCAGGGTGCGGCGATACATGTCCTGCATGTCGGTGGCCTCCCTGCTCTGGGAATTGATGGACGGCAGCCTGCCCAACTCGTCGTGTTCACCTTGTTCGGTGGAGACAACGCCGGCGATTCCTCCAAAAACCCTTGCCGATCTGAGAGGGGGCCTAAACAAGGTCCATCGTTAGCCGTAACCCCAATGCCTATGTGGTGGCAGACGTACGTGACGAAATTCCGATCACCCTCAATCTGGCGTAAAGCTATCCCAACCTTGAGTGTGCTGTTGATTTTGCTGTCCTGCATCAAATAGCGCCTGACGATGCCTTCATCGTCGTCACTCTTGTCCACATACTCAGACAAATTGAGCCTGACTTTTCCTAGTATGCTCTTCTCATTATTTGCCCCGGACATGAACTCTTGTATAATCTCAAAGTATAACTCGCATTCGTGAAGCGTCTGGTTTCGGTCGATCGTCAGGCGAACCTGTAAGACTTTCTCATAGTTCCAATATGCTCTGTGGTCTATGATGACCGCTTTGTCGGTATGCCCATGGTTTTCGGCCGTACATCCGGAAGGAAGGCGCCACTTCACGGATGCCGTACCAGTCACGAGCGGTACATTGTTGAGATCGATGATCTGAGAGAAACCCAACACCAGCTGTCAGCCCCGGACAACGATTGCGACAGCGGTTGTTTAGGCGCACCTTACCCTCAGCACCAATTCGAATTTTGGCTATAACTTTGATATTCGCATTCAACACTTCCTAGCCATCCGAGGTAAGCGAGTAACTTACTCTCCGATTTTTCGGGACTGGCATAGTGCACTCAAGGGTCAGCGCAAGAGACTCAGGGGAGAGATGAGGTCACCACACCCTGAGGGGTCATAGGCAAGAGTCGAGCGCAAATGCGAGAAACATACCGAAGGCCTGCATAGCTGATTGGCTCGAAGCCTATGATTTGACGATTTATGGTAGTGCTCGTTTTATGTAAATTATCAGACTGTCTCCAGAGCAATCCACAGTTAGTATCTTGAAAGTAGCGTCGCCGGTCGAGACCCTCTCCGACGGCACCCCCACACGGGCGCCGGGAGTGTCAAGGCGGCAAGTCAATACTGACGGCAGGATCTGACCGCTCACTGATGGAGATATTGGCGGTGAAACGCCCATCCGCCCGTCCACTTCGCAGTAATTGTGGCCGACCCAAAATTGCATGAGCTTCTACAACACTCCCACCCTCAACCGAGACACAATTGAACGAACTACGTGGTACTTTTCTCAAAGTCACGCCAATTTTATCGCGCACTCTACAAGATGAGTGCGCCGGACTCAGCCATAATGGGCCAACAACAACAACAACAACAGCAACAACAACAACTTCCTCTTTCGCCGCCTTCTGAACCGACACTCTCGCCTACAGCCAACCTGGTCTCGCTTGACTCCCCGGTTCGCACTACTCCTATTCACGAACTTCTCTCGAGCATCCGTGTTCCCGGTCAACCTTTGCAGCCACACCAGTATCATCCGGTCACTTGCGTACCGATTGAAGAAGACGATGTGCGCGCGCAGTTCGAGCAATTACGTCAGGAGTTCCCTTCGCCCGAAGCGGCCTTGAAAGAGCAAGAGCAGGTCGCAAGGGAAATTAAACAGAAACTGGAAGAGGCTGAGAAGAAGCGCGAAGAGATTCAGAAAGCCATGGACAAGAAGATCAAAGAGCGGAACACGGAGATGAAGGTCCTTTCGAAATACCAGAAAGTCAAGGCTTCGGATATTCCGTCTTGAGTGAAGAATCCACAGGAACGGCATGCACAGACGCCACTGAAATTTGTCACACAACATATCCTTCGGACGGCTACAAAGTCTGCAGGGAGATTGAAACGGGCGCTAAGCAAAGAGACAGCCCGGTTCACCACAAATGCCGCAGCTACATGCATTGCGCGCATGGGGGCGGACTGGATGCTTTATCTCGCACAATAGAGCCTTGCCGGAATCACGGCTCATGATGCGAGCAACAGCGCTGTAAGCCATCGGATGGACGTCCTCATTACGGCTGTACCCACTGGAGGTTGACCGGGCTCGGATTCGATTCTCTCTCTAGCTGGACATTAATTTGGGCTCTGCAGTCCGCCGAGTTACCCATCGACTCAAGGAGAACTACAAAGGGACCTGAACATATTTGCTTCAACTTCGGTGCCGAATGGTGGTGACGGTGCACAGCACTCGACATGAAATCGATGGAGACACTTCTTACTCGTCGGCTAGTCACGAATTACAATTAAGATATATATCACAACCGTATCTATGACCTATATCATCACGAACGAGAAATCACAAATACACGGCATGGTTGATCATGGACAAATAAGTCTGCCGCCCGCGCAATGAACAATTCCCTGGCAAATCTCCGCTCACAAGGTGCCTAGCACCTTGATCAGAGCAGGAAGCAACTACGGACTGTCAGTCTCCAGCTTCTAGTTTAGATTGCATGTGTAAGAAATGTCTTACCTCTGAAGCATCTTCAATGAGAACTTGTGTTTCATTGACGAATTTCGGTGTCAACAGGCTAGTTGCCTGACCGAGCAGCCCTCCGACTCCGCTTAGCAACTCCGGAGAGAGAATCGGGGATACGTCGTCGATCAGATCACGTGTCTCATTGACGAACTTGGGCGTCAACAAGTATGTAGCATTGCCAAGGAGGAAGTTCACTTTTTCGAGGAGAGCAGGCGTGATGGCAGGTGACACATTGTCGATCAAGGTCTGAGTCTCTTCCACAAACTTACTCGTCAACAGCTTATTGGCATTGCCAAGAAGTCCCCCTACTAGGCCGAGCATCTCAGGAGACAAGATGGGGGAGATTCCATCGATCAGACCTTGAGTCTCATTCACGAACTTGGGCGTCAAGAGAGTGTTGGCATTGTCGAGCAGACCTCCTACTTCAGAGAGCAGCTGGGGTGTGAACACAGGCGAAATGTCTCCGATGAGGGTGCGGGTTTCCTTGACGAAATCGGGCGTCAACAATTCATTCGCATGGCCGACCAATCCGTGCGTTTCGTCGACAAAATCCGGGGTCAGCAACCCGCTGGCGCTGGTAAGAAGTTGGCCAACCTCCCTCAGGCGAGCAGCAGTAAAGACAGGCGCCACGGCTCCAATCAAGCCCTGAGTCTCATTCACGAATGTCGGGGTGAGGAGTTCATTGGCGTTGCTTAGTAGGGCCGCAACCTCTGCGAGAATAGCCGGCGTCAACACAGGGGCAACTGAATGGATCAGACTCTGGGCCTCATGGACAAATTGTGTCGTCAACAGTGTGTTAGCGTTGCCCAAAACTGAGTTGACCTCCCGGAAGAGCTCTGGTGTAAGGGCCGGTCCAACTGTTTCAATCAAGGATTGCGTTTCGTTCACAAACCTGGGTGTCAAGAGTCCATTGGCGTTGCTGAGCAAAGTACCCACTTCAACTATCAAATCGGGAGACAAAATCGGAGCCACAGCCTTGATCAATGATTTGGTCTCTTTGACAAAGTCGACTGTCAAAAGACCATTGGCGTTGGTGACCAAGATACCGACCTCGTTCAGAAGTTCGGGAGTCATCACACAAGCAACAGTCTCAATCAGCTCACGGGTTTCTTTGACAAAGTCGGCCGTCAGTAACTGGTTGGCATTTCCAATGAGGCCGTTGACCTCCCTGACGAATTCTGCAGTGAGAAGCTCATTGCCATTATCCAGCAATACGGACACCTTGTTGAAGAGCTGAGGCGTCACAAGAGGGCCAACGGAAGCAATCAACTGCTGCGTCTCGTTGACGAAGTTCGGTGTCAGCAGATGGTTCGCATTGTTCAGAAGAGTCAGCAGCTCGTTGGTCAATTGTGGAGTCAGTAGATTATAGGCAGTATCGAGCAACGACTTTGTCTGGTTCGTTGTCTTGTCGTCAAACAGGTACGCGAAGTGGTGGAAGAAAGACTCAATGTCCGTGAGTAGCGACGGGTTCAATAGGCCGAAAAGCCCACTCAGAAGGTCAGGCTGCTTTGTCTCAGAGCTCCGGGGAGATGTGGCTGTAGAGGATCCCGAGTTCTGTGCCACAGATGGGCTTGAACCTGTGCTGTCCTCTGCATTGGACTCGGAACTGTGGCCCCCTCCAAGAAGACCACCAACCAACCCAGATAAGAGGTCTCCGTAAGCACTTTGGGTGGGAGCGGCTGCTGCTGCAGTGGACGGCTGCTGAGCTATCGCACTAGCAGCTGCCTGCTGCTGCTGGGCCGCATTGCCCGCCGACTGCTGACCGACGGGAACTGCATTATGCTGATTGGTACTGACACCTAAACCGGGGCTCTGTACAGTCTCTGTCACATCCGTCGTACCTGATGCCGGGGTTGACACAGAACTGGGTGCATTTGCGGCGCTTTGAGCGTCTGGCTGGGTGGCCACGGCTGCTGGAGTTGACTGGATTGAGGTTGCCAACGAGGTGCTGGATAGCACGACGGCCGAAAAGAAAGCCGATGAGAAACGCATCAGGAAAGGTTGCGTCCGTCAACAAACAAATCTGCACTTAACGAATGGATGGTTGGCTGCAGATGGACGCAGGTCGGCAGAGCACCTTATATGGCACTGCATGAGCATTACTCCTTCTGCAATTGCACCGGTGACGTGCACCAGGGTCCTATCAAACAACTAGTGAAATGAAAGGGATGGGCTGCCGTTTCGTCAGGGCTCTTACCTCCTGATCTGGTAGCGTCGCCGTTGCGGCTCCGTCTTGTTCGAGGCTGACCCTGAGACCTGCTTGTTTTCTGGGCTCGCAGTGCCTGCGGACACGGACTAAGGGGATGGAGTTCGCTCCCGCACGAGAGACTGTTGTTTGATTCAACTATCCTTCTTGCGGTAAGTGCATCCAAGGCTATTTTGGGGGACTGTCGCGGAGAAGCAAATCCGTCGAGGCAGTTGGACCAGAAAAGATCACCATTTGGTTGTCGGAGACAGTCTACATTCTCCGCCGAAGTTCCCCTCCCTCGGTGATCGACAGATCAACAGATCAACAGGGACTTGTTTGACGACTGTGGGGCGATAAGGTGGCAGGAATAGGGCATTCCTGAACTATGAGGCTGGAGCATGAATCTGAACTATACCCGAGTTCATAGATGGAGAAGAGGGATAATATGGCTGCCAGCTTCACGCAGACCTAGTGTGCCATCTTTGTTCAGACTTATCATCGCAAAGTGAAAGAGCAATAACAATTCCAAATGCCTGATTATGAGAAGCCGATCACTGTCTGCTTTGGAAGTACATACATAGCTTCCTTAAAGTTGTCATACTGCTGTGACTCCGTTGTTGAAATCTGCACAAGTGCTTCTCACCCATCGGACGCTAGAACCAAATTTCTTTCCAGCAAAGGAACTTCGGCAGCATGTGACATTCTCGAGAAGCGGGTTTTACATGCCTCTGGGTGATCCATGCAGCCTGAAATATGGGTTCCGTTTCATGGTTCCATTTAGCTTGGATGATCATCTTTGCACCGTAGTTCTTCACTTCTCGAGAAGAGGAATCTTATATCGATTGATTATCCCCTTTTTCTTCAGCCATCATGCAAAAGGTATCTCAATATTCGGCGGACCACTTGATGGGCCGTGCGTGCCATACTTCCACATGTACTGTACAGCTCTGGGTAGCAAAGTATCTATTTGAAGCATACAGTTTTCCAGAAGCAGGCATAGAAGACAATAATCATTGCTACTTTCAAATCCAGCACGAAAGAAGGTACCCCTCTTTCCCTAAATCAAAAGAATCGTTTGTCCCAAGGGAAGGGAGGGGGGACCATCGGCCTCAAAAATCAGACCCACTGTCTGGTCCGGCTCGATCCAACCGGCCCCATAATATCTGATACAACCCACCCCC